CGTGCACGGAGCGAGCCGGATTGCTCAAGAGCTGGTTGACAAGGGAAGAGTGAGGGGTGGGGGAAACAGAAGGAAACACGCCCACCCCTGGAGGTGAGGGGGAGACGTGAGGCCGGCCTGGGCCGGTCAAAGTATTAAAATGCCTCCTCCCCAGAGCATCTGAGTCCCTTGGGAGACTGAAATGCCGTTTGCTGGTAGATCCTGAAGGGACTGGAAGGAGATGCATTCAATGTGAGCTAGCGAAGAGTTGATCCCCCCGTCCCCCGGAGTTCAGCACCATAGACAGCTCCCGCCCAGCCGCGCCTTCCCGCGGGACCAGCCCAGGACCAAGGACAGATCCCAGCTCAAGGTCCCCGCGCCCCTTGCGCACCTCGTTCCCCGGGGTGGGCAGCTTCGCAGGGGAGCGCGGGTCCAACAGGGTCAGTGATTTTTTCGGGAAATTAAAACGATAACTAAATGCAAAAGGGCTTGTGCCCCTCCCCCCCTCAAAGAAAGTTTCCGCCCCACCCAAGGGGAAATAATAATAAATAATAAAATAAAATTAATAATAATAATTAATAAAAGCTTTGGGTGGAAATGGCTGAAAACTGAATCCCCTCAAGAGAGTTTACCGCCGAAAAGTTGGGTTCCAGTTTCTGATTTTTGTCTTTGGTAGCCCAGAAAAGTTTGACCCGAATGGAAGTTTTCAAAGATTGAGTTGAAATAGTTTGATGAAAAGAAAATCCCACCAGTCCTAGTGGGGGGGCTGGAATGCCCCCCCCCCGTGCTAATGGAGCTGTCCAAGTGGAGAAGGAAGGCTTTTAGCAGTAAGGGGCTGTCCAGAAATTATTTAGGGCATTTTTGGGGGGGAGGGGAGAGAGGGTCCTCAATTTTGCATGTTTATTTCAGTGTTAGAAGGCATAGGAGGGCCTTTAAAAAGAACCAAAAATGTGTTGTGTCATTTATGGACAACCCCTAAGTGCTAGAGCAAAGCAGATCCAGGCTACGGCCAGGAAGGCCAATCCAAATGGGGCCTCTCCTCAAGCCCAGAGTGGCAGGACTAAAGATTAAGTGGACGAGGATTATTTCCTGAGATGTACACAGAGATTTTATACTATCTTCTCCAGGGGGCATGAATCAGTGTTCATGTCGTGCTCCATGTCAGTCCCGGCCTGGGCCAGGGAAGCTAATGATCCAACCAGCAGACCAAATTCAGTGATGAAACCTGGTCATGTGCTCCTTGAGGCATGTTTTGCATATGCTAAGAAGCACAGGGAACACGTGTGTGGGGGGGCATGCAGGGGCAAGTGCCCCCTCAGATTTCTGCTTGACCTGCCAGCGGTGGGGGGAAGGAGAGAGGCTCTACCCTTCTTCCACCATGCCTGCTCCTCGGCACATTCGGCCCCTGTCTCTGGCACCCAGACCCAGGTGGGGAGTGGAAGGGGTGGGCCCGGCTGCTTCTCAAGCTGGTCACTCCAGGTAGCTTCTCTGTGCAGTGCAGTGGCTGCCTATGACAGCCTGGCTGGGGAGGTGGCGGCTTCCACTCCCCACCTGGGCCCAGCTGCCAAGGACATGGGCCCAGCGAGTCACAGCCTCCTCCCCTCCCAGCACATTTCCCGCTTGTTCAGCCCCTGTTCCAGGCAGCCAGGACTGGGTGGGGAGCGGAAGCCGGGGAACGGAGCAGTGACCCAGAGCAGCCACCTTCAGCCCCATGAGAAGTGCTCTGTCCTGCTCCCCATCTGGCCCAGCTGCCAGGGACAGGGGCTGAATGTGCCGAGGGTGGGGAGAGGTGCAGCAGGAAGACAGAGTCCCCACCCCGCAGGTAACTGGTGGAGTGTGGCCATCCCCAGGCTTGGCGCAGGGTGGGGGTCACTGGGGGAGGCACCAGGAGCAGGTTCCCTGGCCTCTGCTCAGCCTGGACTTGGCCAGCCCCAGCCAGGCCCAGAGGCACATGCTCCCCACTCCTGGGGCCCCAGCTCCCAGGAACCAGCTGGATGGGCTGCCCTGGCCCAGGGAGGTGGGGCTGGAAGCTCTTCCCAAAGGAGGCACATGGGGTGGTCACGTGCCCCCACCTTTACATTGTGCCCTTCCTCAGTATCATGAGGCATGACTCATGTATGAATGCCTCTCCTCCCCACAGAGGGGCATCAAGCACAAGAGGTCCCTCTCACTGGCTCACAGTGAAACTGTAAAGTGTACCTGTCACTGGCACATCAGAGTGATGAGTTCAGTCAAGTCTGCAAAGTACAGTGCTGCCCCCTAGTGATTAATTAGCCTGCATGTCATTCTTCTTCACAACACAGTTCCAATCCAACTTTAATAATTTTTTTTTAATTTCTCAGGCAATTTTTTTTAATTTTTCAGGCAGCAGCAGTGTGCTGCATGCAGCAAAAGGCAAATAAATATTGATGGACACTCTCAAACCCTAGATGCTTGCAAGCTAAGTGACACTAAGATACAGAGGGGAAGGTAGCAGGGTAGCGGTGTTTGCGTTTGTTTGATAGAGAGAGACACAAGGTGGATGAGGGAATACAGGTTTCATATAGAGTTTTTCAGAATGTGATGAAATGTGAACAAGCGATGTGATTGCAGTCCTGATTTCTGCTGCAGTTGTTTCCATTTGAATTGTTTTGCTCTGATCTATTTTTCATACCATTCTGAACTGACATGACATATATTTGCAATACATGGTATAAAAATCACAGCTCGTAGTGGAATAGGACTCCTTGTTTCAGCACTCAAGGGCTTTTCTCTCCAGCTCTATCATCTCTTAGTTCACTTTACTCACAGTTCACTTCTAACCCCTTTTGAGAGCTTGTTTGCAGCACTGCCAGAAAGCGCCTGTTTTGTTGTTTGAATCCCCTTTCTGCATGGAGTCTAATTTAAAACCCTTTGTGGCACCAGCCCAGATTGCTTCATGCGCTTAATTTCATCGTGGTGATCTGGCACTTTAGTGTTTAATATTAAACACATGCCAGGAGTGGAGCTGTGCATGACCTGTGCCTTTGGAGACTTCAGGCCCAAAGCATGGAGAGAAGACAGACAGCCTGTTTAATGTACAACCTGTGAACTAAGTTTCCTATGTCCACCCATCCGTGAACCACAGTGCATAGGTTAGAAAGAAGGGAAGCCCTCTGCTCTACAAGCCCATCCAGGAGCCTGAGCAAGGTCATATATGGACAGGAGATCATGCACTTCCCTCCTCCCTCCAAACTACTCAGTCCTCTCCCTGTTGCACATCTGTCATTCCTCTAGGGAACAGAAGTCCCAGCTTCCACCCATTCCAGTTTGCACACCAGGACACCCTCCCACACACTCCTATCATATAGGGCTCAGTTCTCCTCCCAGTGACAAAACCCTTTAACCCTACCTAACTGCTAAGTCCCCTTCCTTTCCTCTAGCCGAAGAAATCATTTGGACTTTCTCACTTTCCATCTCCCTGAGGCCCCGCCTAACTTATTCACCACATAGTGAATCCCAGCGGTATCCCTGCTCTGGACCATTGCTCACGCAGAGGTGCGCCAGCGATGAAAGGGGCAGTCAGCACTTTCATTTCATTGTCGGTGCATGTTGAGAATTTTGTCACTTATCTCATTGTAGGCAGTGGGGGTAGCGTCACCTATACATAAAGATGCCTGACACTTCCCCATTATAAGACCTGGTTTCTAATAACTCTGCCTTTACATAGCACTCTAGATCTGTTGCTTCACAGGTGAGAGGAGACGCCAAGCTGGTGAAAGCGGCTGTCGCAGACACTCACCACTAGTCACAGGTCTCTTCTTGGGGGTGGCGGGGGAGGGTTTAAGTTAATAAAATGGAAGAGATTTGAAAAACTCATTTACCTCAAATAGATCTTTTCAGCAAGTGTGTCTGGCTGAAAGGGGGAGATCTGCAGTACGTCTAGAAAATAAGGGAATTTTAATGTCGGCAGCATCTGGAATGGAGGATTTGTTTACCTGCTTTTCATTCTTCTACCTGAAGGTAAGCAATAAAAAGCTCAGTCACAGGACATAGACCTCTGAGAGCGCTAACTTTCGGTGCAGTAAAGAAGAGCAGAAACACTTTGACATTGTGCCACCATTAGGTTTCAGAATTAACATCAGATTGCAAACAATGTGGCAGCTCACATGCGAGCTATTCTTTCAGGCTGCCTTCTCACACTGCTGTATCAGTTTATACTTTGGCTCATGTTTTCAAAAGTTCTCTGCAACAATAAAGGCTGGAAATAGGAAGGGTTTTCTTTTTTAAATGAAAATTTAGGTTCTAGAATATGGGAAGGAACAGCAGGTGCAGAATACCAGTGGGCCGTGCTTATAGGAATGAAATGTGATACAGGTAGGATAGACTGCCAGGTGGTATGTTCAGCACTTCTCCAATTAGAAGGGAAAACTCCTTTGTGTTTGGTTTTGTTTTGGGGTTGTTGTTCTGGTTTTGAAAAAGGAATTTTGTGGCTAATGCAGAAAGTACTGACATTGCATTTCACACAACCACACTACTTCCTGCTAACAGATAAAGCCCTAGATTTCTAGAACTCGATATTTTTCTTGTGGAATTTGAGTTCCTTCTTTGGTGCACCCGAATGAACTCAACATGTAATTTCTGCACTATACTAACAATCTAAGTCTCCAGTGGAGTGGATAAGTGTGACAGTCAGTACCCTTATGTTCACCATTTCTGCAAGACGATGATAATTTTTGTACAAAGTATGCTTTGCAAGGTATCATTTGCAAGCTCATAATCTGTTGATCATCAAATAAAATATGGGTGGCAACATTGTATGTAAAGTTACAAGATCCTACTGCATAACATTCCTGAGACATGTTCCAAGTTCTCCCAGACAAAAGGCAAATTGATGCCTCAGCCAATTGTCAACAAAATCAGATGGCCTCTTCTTCTTTGGCAGGAAGAAGGAGGTGAGTGAGAAATCTACATTTTGACAAACAAACAGCTGGGGTTTCCTGTCTCCTCAGACCTTCTGTTTCCTGAATCTCAGCTGAAGATGAATTCTTGTGAAACAGAAATGGCTATAAGAGGAGAAGGCAAATGCTCCAAAGGTTTTCTTCCTCCCTTTCTCTCTGCTAACAGCATCAACAATACCCGAAGAATAAGGAAAGAAGCACTGGACAGGAGGAGAGGTCCTGGATGAAAGGCATCCAGCCAGTAAGACTTAAAAAGCATGTGATGAGAGAAAGCTTTGCTTTGAATTCATTTAGCCTGGTAAGTTAGGTATTAGTTGCATTTTACCTTTTATTTCTTTGTAACCAATGCTGATTTTTATGTCTCGTTACTTGTGATCATTAAGATCTTTCCTTCTGTAGTCAATAAACATGTTTTTCTAAATCAGTATGTTTGGATTGAAGCATTTGGGAAACTCCATTTGGGATGACAGGATTTGTGCATAGCATTTTCTACCGATAAATGATGGACTTTATATGAGCTTGTATTGTCCAGGAGAGTGCTGGGAAGTGCAAGACACATTCTGGGGGAAAGTCTGGGCCTGGGAGTTTGCTGGTGTTTCCCTGTAGTGTAATTCATGAGTGGCTGGCATAGCACTCATATAATATACCTGAGAGTGATTTTCATGCTGGAGGCTGGGTTTGAGCAAACCAGGAGCAGTTGCTCTCACAGTGAAGCAATTTAAAAGGTGCCCCAGGCTGGAGAATTGAGGGAACACGGCAGTTCAGGTTGTACCTGGGGAACGTCACAGTAAGGGAGAATTTTCATAAGGACAGTTGATGTGCAGGGCTGCAACTAGATTATTAACCCAGCATTGGGTGAGAGTTATAAGGGAATGATGATGACATACAGCTGGAGTTCTAGTACACGTAGGTGTACAGGAATTGGGCAGTGTCCATTTAAATAGCGGGGAGACCTCACATGGGTCTCCCTGACTTCTATAACAGAAGTGTATATCTAGCTCGGTGTTGTATATAGTTAGTAAACATATGGTTGTTTGGAACCCAACTGTGTTCATGCGGTTTCCTCTTACTTTTAATGTTGTGTTGAGAGCAAAGACAACAGCGAGACACTAATACTATTGTGGTTAAAGCGGTTTAAGTAGAGTCAGTCCCTCGACTGTGTTATCTACCTTTGGTTACAGAGCAGGAGACTGAGATGTTCCTGTACAATATCATTACGATGAAGTTCTGAACACTTTAGATACAGGGAGAGATACACCAAGAGAGAGGGTCAGGAAATTATCCCCCTGCACAAACGAACAATGATGCAAAACCAGAAATTCTCATTTTTGTTGACATTTTTCATGTTTTCACCAAAATAAAGGCCCCAAACATTCAGCTTCTGAATGTAGAAAATTTCAATATTTTTATGAAAACCCAAACAATTGTGATGAAAACGGAAATGTATGGAAAAAATTCTTTCCCCTCAAAAAGCCATTTTCCATCAACAAAGCTTTTTGATAGAAGATTTATGACCATTCTGTCTCTGCAGATACTCCTCCCTTCCTTGATAGGTGGGCCCCATCTCTCCTGTTTCTCAGAGCAGCATCCCACAGTTGAGAAAGCTGAAGCCCTCCTGGCGACACCATGTGCGCAGCCAGGTATTCACCTCCACTCACTTCTCACATTCTAATCACTAGGCAAATCTGATAAATGGTCTGCTGGAGTATAAGTGAAAGCAGAGTCCAGCCCATTAAGAATATAGCAGAGACAGCTTATTTTTAGTGGTGGTGTTGACTTTTAGTACATTTGCCTTCTCCCTATATTGAGTCTGATCCTACTAGGTCTAAGCAGTCTCTGCAATGGGTGCCTTCAACTCCCACAGACTAACAGGAATTGAAGGTGCTGATGCTTAGCACCCCACAGGATCAGACGCATATGTTTAGGTTTCTTGGGGGTTATTAAATCTAAAACCATCCACCCACTTTGTATCTCATTTTAGGCATTGGATAGCCCTGGAAACTTGTGCTTTGAGGGCACTTTGAGATGTTCCATTCTGGGAGAGGTGCAGGAGTTAAGAATTAGACTTTGACTGGACTGTGAAACAGAAACATCACACAGATCTGGTTTTCCCTGAATAAATGCGGTTGAAATGACACATTCTAAAAAAGCCACCCCCACAGAATGAGACCATTCAGCTGCCACGAGTTTAGGAGGAAATGAAACTGTAAAGAGAAAGGAAGTCTGAAATGAAATCCATTTGTCAGTACATTTTAGATTCGAAAAAACACAGAACCCTGCCTTCATTGAGACCACACCGGATACGCTGATAGTCCACATTCTGCTGTCTGAAGAAAGAACCAGGACCATGAGGAGTTTCCTTGTCCGGGCTTGGATTCTTTTGCCAGGTGAGACAGGATTCTTTAGGTCAATAGAAATAGACCCAGGAGGCAGATCTGCTCCTGTTGGAGCAATAGGAGCTGTGGCTGCTAATCATTTCTGCCCTCAGGTCCTCCACCCAAGTGCCTGATGTTAAGCACAGGTTTGAACAGATAACAGGAGAGAATGTCCTAGTTTAAAGCCAACCTGCAGGAATTCCCATGGCCCTGGAGAAAATGTCCTACATAAAAGCCAAAACATTTCAATGCTGCAGTGGGTTGAAGTGGTTTGGAAGATCTCACCAGGGACCTTAGTACTACAGTTTTTCCTTTAAGATAGGGGGAGGAATTAGACTCCCCCAAGTCTAATAATTGTACCCTTCCCTGCCACCGATGGCTCTGGAGGATTGTCCTCTAACTTCCCTTAACACATTTTCCTCTCCTCCCTCAACCCCCATGCGGCAAGTTGGTTTGAGAAGGAATTTCACTGCAATCAAGTGCTCTGCAGATGATAGTAACGTCCCCAGTGCAGTCACTTCCAAGTGGGATGCAGACCAGTTATGCACCTATTTTTTGTTTGCTTGCTTTTTAAATAGTATTGTGAGGTTGGGTTTTCAATGTCACACGTGACGCAGGAGAACAAGTGGCACTGAAAGGCACTGGGACTTGGGCTCCTAAGTCACTTAGACACAGCTGACAAACCTGACCAATGCAGTGAGTATTTCTATCTGAAAAGCCACAAAAGGAGAACAAATGCCATGATTTTTTGGGGCAGGGGAGGGCAGGGGGGAGATGAGAAGCAAAACAGTGTTAACAAACATACAGATATCACTTTTCACAGAAACAGACTTCCTAGCTGGCAAGTCTTAAAAAAAGTAACCAAACAAGCAAAAGAAACAACAACAAAAGACAAGAACATGCAAAGCACCTGATTTGTTTCTATTCTATCTAGGTCCAGTAAAGAATAGAGACAACTGTATATTATTTTTATTATTGAGTCTGCAATAAAAACCTACCTAAATGAATTACAATGATTTGCACATGGCTATGTAAATATTTATTTGATTTTCCTAAAGTTAATTAACTACTTTAGGGAAACGTGTCAGAATGGCCCCCCGCAAGAATTGGTGGCTGCATTCTGAGGCCACCAAAACATTTCTTGTGAAACAGACCCACACAACACCCCTGTGAGGCAGGAAAGCACTATTATCCCCAAGGGAACTGAAGCAGAGAGAGGTGAAGGAACTTGCCCAGTGTCACACAAAGAGTCTGTGGAGGACTGGGGACTTGGACCCAGATCTTCTAAGGCCCAGGCTATCAGCTTTCACCACCTTAGATCCACCACAAAGCAGCTGTCTCCTTCCACACAGGAATATCCAGGCACAAAAGGTTGATCTGGCTAACTAGTTCTGAAGTGTGTCTCTTTGTCACTTGTTTTTGCTCAGCAGGAAAGCAATGAAAGCAATTCTGTCTTTTGCAGGCTGTTGGGCTCTGACCGGCCCTAGGGAGGTGAGCGGCCCCGTGGGAGGGTCGGTGTCTGTGCAGTGTCAATACAATGAGGCTTACCAGAACTATAAGAAATACTGGTGCAGAGGAGAAATGTGGATATCCTGCTCCGTAGCTGTTCAGACCAACAGTTCAGAGGCAGAGGTGGCAGGGGACAGAGTCTCCATCCAAGACGATCAGACGCAGTGCACGTTCACTGTGACCATGGAGAGCCTGGCACTGGGCGACCAGGATGTTTACTGGTGCGGGATAGAGAAGAGCGGCTTTGACGGCATGGTCGCTGTCAATGTGTGTGTTTTCCCAGGTAAGTCCTTCAAGGGTGTGATGTGTTGTGCCAGTCACCCAGCACCTGCTGCTGCTAAGCTAGGAGTCAGCGCCCTGGCACACCAGCTTGTCTGCCCGGCCAGCACACTCCTGAGGACTCTGCCAGTTGAAACCTCGCCTGGCCAGTAACGATCAGTGAACCGCAATTCCCGAGTTCCCAGAGTCTCCCTGGCTAGAGGGACAGTTTATTTGACTCAGTGTGCTGATTCCCATGTTCCTATCTCAATGGAGTGGGGAAGAATATGGACTGAGATAGAGGTACAGAGGGAAGGGGAGGAGAAGCCAGGGCCTATCTGCTCACTTGTTGGCCAATAATGCAGGATGAGGCATTTAAACACCATGTGCTCATGTCAGAATAGTTCTGTCTCATTTCCTTCCTCTGCTGCCACCACTGATCCCTGCAGAGGAAGCCAAGTCTCGCTCACTCTCCCCAGTCCCTCAATATTGTTGGAGTTCCCCCCCAAACCTCTTCCACTTAGCCCCCCAAGAACTCAGTCCAACTCCAGTCTCGTCCCTCAGGTTCCTTTATTTGGCATACTGCAAAGCTACGTTATCTCACTGGGGGCCACCAGCGGTTCAAGTAGGATACAGAATTACAGCTACTGTGTTAAAACAACACCACACTCCCTTTCTCCGCTTGCAATGGCCTAGCTAATACACACGTCAAGGGGCTTTAATAGCCCAGCCACCATGAAGGCAGGTGCCGTCTCAAACAGGAAATGGATAAACAAGGGCGTGGTGATCCAGCTCTGTCTGCTGTCATTTGCAGCTGTTCCTACCTCACCGCCAACGACGCCAGAAAAGGACCTGACCGTTGCCACCTCCCCATGGACTGTTCCTGAAGTGGAAAAATCCACCTCCGCCTTTTACAGTAGTGATGCTCCTGCCGGGTGAGTGCCCAAACTCATGCTAGAGGCACTGTGAGGTCTCCTTTCCCCAAGCTCCATGGCAGGTTTGGGGTCTCTACACAGCCCTCCGAAGTCAGGGCTACAATCCTTACAGATGCCAAGGCTTTAAGTCAAACTCAGGCAGCATGTAGGAGCCTAGAACTCACAGGTGACGGCGAGATTTTTAGCTGAGTTTACAAGTTGAGGTAGGGTCATTTATCATCCAAGTCAGGGCCAGACAGTTCTGCTGCTATACAGTCCTTCCGGTCCTGCAAACTATTTTCTGCCCTGCAAGGTGAATTCCATTGCATTATACTGTATCAAGCCCACACTTGCAAACAAAAAGAAAGCAAAAAACACCCCCCACCCACACTCACCACTCTTCCAGCCTGATGTGGTCCAATTTTAAAGAGCTAGCGCTGCATTTCCCCTCACATCTGACATGCAGGACTCTTGCTATTCTATTGGGCTTTCCAGTCAGGCAGGGAGATGTACTGAACATGTCAATCACATGACAGAATATCTGAAATTTCCATCTTGAAGTTGTTGTCCATTGTTTCCTTCACACTGCGGCAGAAGCAGTTGACAAACCCCAGCACTGGAAGGGGTGTGTGTGACACTGCATTCTGTACGATTGTGTCTAACTTTTTAATCAGAAAAGCCAAAAATTCATGGCAAAAGATGCAGTGCAAGTCTCTAAGAGAATAACAACATCGAGCACTTTTCCTCCACAGATCTCCAGGCACTTTACAAAGGAGGTCAGTATCATTAACACCATTTTACAGATGGGGAAACGGAGGCACAAGAGGTGACATGACTTGCTCAGGGTCAGCCAGCAGGCCAGTTGCAGAGTCAGGAATAGAACCCAGGTCTCCTGATGCTGGGTCCAAAGCTCTAACCACTAGGTAACACTGCCATCCCTAAGCAGAACAGGGGTTTTACCCTAGCTCAGATGAAAATAGTCTAACAGTTTTAACCTGATCATTTAATTAAGTACATTTAATCAATAAAAAGAGTTTGTTTTTGAAGTGCCAACCACAGAGGCCCTGTTAGGGTCACTAGAATCGTGCCCATTGCTGTCGCACTCTGTAGGTTTTTGTTGAGATCAGACCTTTGTTAGGCACTATGCTGAGGCCAGCAAACTCATGTCTCTGGTCACCTGGGCCTAGATTCTCAGATGTATTTAGGTGCTTAACTCTCATTGAGGGCAGGGAGAGTGAGACATCTAAATGTCTTTAAAGACCTAGGCCCTAGTACACATTTAAACCTCGCTGTGCAAAGAGGAAAGCTAGGCCTGCTAGTTAGATTGCCAAATTTTCCTTTGCAGAATGGTTTCTGTTTATTCAGTTGGATGCTGAAATCCAGCGTAGCAAGTTGTTAGCCTCAGCTCTGCAACTGACTCAATGTGCTACTTTGAAGCAAGTCACTGTACTTGTGCCACAGTTTCCCATCTGTAAAAAACAGATAGGGGTTGCCTAATACTTACCCACCCCTTCAAACAACTTGAGAGGGGAGCAAGGTATATGTCTAGTCTTTATATAACAAAGTGTGACCGTTAAGGGTAGAAATAAACATTCTCTTCTCCTTCGCCTAGTATACCAAACCTCGTCCTCCATATCCTGATCCCATCCGTCCTGCTGGTTCTATCTTTGATTGTGTTCATTGCTGTAAAGTTTAGAAGAGCATCACAGAGGAGGAGCAAAGGTAAAAATTCTCTGATCAATTTTGCTACTAAGTGTCACTTCATTCTCCGGATGGTACAGCCCAATTATTTTGCTTCCTTCCTAAGGACCATATTGTTCCTGTCCCCAAAATAACAGCACAAGACAGACACTCTCTAAATTCACCCCACGTACTTCGTCAGTTACTCCATGCAGCAGGTTGCATGGCTGTACAAACTGGTAGATCCCCACAGCTCACCCAGCCCCCGCTATCACACATCCCCAGCCACAGTGACGGAGCAGGTACCTAGCTCAGGCTAGATACAGGAGCTGGCTAGTTAAAAAGCAAACAAACCAGTTGTTTCTGACCATGTAGAAATCAGCTGTTTAAATAAGATTCATTAACACTCAGCAATAGAAACAAATTCCCCTTGATTACCTGATTTCATCAGCTGCTCCTAAGAACTGCTCCTCTGGCCTATAGTGATTCCCAGCTTTTCCTGCAAAGCTGTCTACCCCACAAGCCCCATGCTGCCTCAGGTTCTGGTAATCCTGTGACTTCCAATCAGCTGCAGCTGGGCTTGCCAGGTTCTGATGGGTACTAATAACAGCGAAATAGCTGACAAAGTCTTTTCCTCCGTCACCTCAGCCAGAGGGCGTGCAATCACTGCCTCAGCAAAAAGAACCGAACCAACGCCGGGGCCGCTGCTGCATGAGAAAGCTGCACCAGTTTAACTTAAATTGGGTCAAGACATGATTTAGCTAAACTGGAGCAAAGTCTCTGTAGACATTTATTTTATTATTTATTTATAAGGCTGCTGGTGTGTGGAGACCGTGGCCTATTATGCTGGCAACTATTGTCACAGAGTTTCCTGGTCCTCCCCTGTCTATCAGAACCCATCTGTTGTCCCGCGTCTTCTACTTAGTTTGTAAGCTCTTTGGGTCTCTTTGTTCTGTGTTTGTACAGCACCTAGCACAACGGGGGTCCTCAGCCATGACTGGTGCTCCTAGACCCTATGATAATACAAGTAACACAATCATAGAACTGGATGGGACCTTGAGAGGTCATCTAGTCCAGTCCCCTGCACTCAAGGCAGGACTAAGTATTATCTGGACCATCCCTGGCAGGTGTTTGTCTGACCTGCTCTTAAAAATCTCCAATGATGGAGACTCCACAACCTCCCTAGGCAATTTATTCCAGTACTTAATCACCTTGATAGTTCAGAAGTTTTTTCTATTGTACAACCTAAACCTCCCTTGCTGCAATTTAAGCCCATTGCTTCTTGTCCTATCCTCAGAGGTTAAGAACAACAATTTTTCTTCCTCCTTCTTGTACCAACATTTTACATGAAAACTGTTATCGTGTCCCCTCTCAGTCTTCTCTTTTCCAGACTAAACAAACCCAATTTTTTCAATCTTCCCTCATAGGTCATGTTTTCTAAACTTTTCATCATTTTTGTCGCTCTTCTCTGGACTCTCTCCAATTTGTCCACATGATCATCCTTCCTGAAATGTGGCATCAAGAACTGGACACAATATTCCAGTCAAGGCGTAATCAGCATGGAGTAGAGCAAAAGAATTACTTCTCATGTCTTGCTTACAACACTCCTGCTAATACATCCCAGAATGATGTTTGCTTTTTTTGCAACAGCGTTACACTGTTGACTCATATTTGGCTCGTGGTCCACTATGACCCTCAGATCCCTTTCCACAGTACTCCTTCCTAGACAGTCATTTCCCATTTTGTATATGTGCAACTTCTTGTTCCTTCCTAAGTGGAGTACTTTGCATTTGTCCTTATTGAATTTCATCCTATTTACTTCAGACCATTTCTCCAGTTTGTCTAGATCATTTTGAATTTTAATTCTATCCCCCAAAGCACTTGCAGCCCCTCCCAGCTTGGTATCGTCTGCAAACTTTCTAAGTGTACTCCGTATGCCATTATCTAAATCACTGATAAAGATATTAAACAGAACCAGACCCAGAACTGATCCCTGTGGGACCCCACTCGTTATGCCCTTCCAGCATGACTGCGAACCACTGATAACTACTCTCTGGAAATGGTTTTCCAATCAGTTTTGCACCCACCTTAGAGTAGCTCCATCTAGGTTGCATTTCCTTAGTTTGTTTATGAGAAGGTCATGTGAAACAGTATTAAAAGCTTTACTAAAGTCAAGATATACTACATCTACTGCTTCCCCCGATACACAAGGCTTGTTTCCCTGTTAAAGAAAGCTATCAGGTTGGCTTGACACTATTTGTTTTTGATAAAATCATGCTGTTACTTATCACCTTACTATCTTCTAGATGTTTGCAAATTGATTGCTTAATTACTTGCTCCATTATCTTTCTGGGTACTTTCCACTGAATTTTCCACTGTATTTTCCACTGCATGCATCCAATGAAGTGAGCTGTAGCTCATGAAAGCTTATGCTCAAATAAATTTGTTAGTCTCTAAGGTGCCACAAGTACTCCCTTTCTTTTTGCGAATACAGACTAACACGGCTGCTACTCTGAAACCTGTCCTTTCTGGGTACAGAAGTTAAGCTGACTGTCTGTAATTCCTTGGGTTGTCCTTATTTCCCTTCTTATAGATTGGCATGATATTTGCCCTTTTCTAGTCTTCTGGAATCTCTCCTGTCTTCCACGACTTTTCAAAGATAATCGCTAATGGCTCAGATATCTCCTCGGTCAGCTCCTTGAGTATTCTAGAATGTATTTCATCAGGCTCTGGTGACTTGAAGACATCTAATTTGTCCAAGTAATTTTTAACTTGTTCTTTCCCTGTTTTAGTCTCTTCTGATCCTACCTCATTTTCACTGGCATTCACTGTTAGACGTCCAATCAGCACCAACCTTCTTGGTGAAAACCGAAACAAAGAAGTCATTAAGCACCTATGCCTTTTCCACAATGATTTATTTATTTCAGTTTAAGAGTGGCTTATATAGATTTAGTTTAAGCCAGTTTCGTATTCACTTCAGCTAAACTGAAGCAAGTCGTTCTCATACTGAAATACGAGTCTACCCAGAGTTCTGCCCTTGTTTATCTAAATTGGGTTTTGACCTGATTTACTTTAAACTGGGGCAATTTTTGCATGTAAATGAAGCCTAGAACACCACATTTTTTGGACAATTCTAATCTTCCCGCTCAACTTCAGCTGAGCTGCAGCCACACTGTACTGTTAGCCCCCTATGTGGGGGTACAGCTACAGGGTTCTCTTTTTCTCTAATTCTGGGAAGAGATCAGCAGGAACGCTGCAGCAGCCAGTTAGAGACAGAGAAATATTACTGACCTTTCAGCCCCCAACTGTAGCTCTCTGTCTTTCATTTGCATGCTGCATGAAAAAGGAATTCTCAAAGCAGAAAGGTCCAGATCCTCAAAGGAATTTAGGTTTCTAACAAATTAGGAGCCTAAATAACTTCAAGGCTCTGAGCCAAACTGCTAATCCTTAAAAGGGAAACTGTCCCCAGAGACTTGGAGATCTCTAAAAAGACACTGGGGATGTATCTCCTTGCCAGACACATCCACAGGGCCCTAACCTCATGGTGTTGGTGATGAGAGGCTCATGGGAGCAGGAGCATAGCCCACCAAGGAGCTGACGCTACTGCTTTCCCTGGGCGCTGCAAAGCACTACGGATCTGTGCACCACTTGCAGAGCTGATCCTGAGGGCTGGGTCTGTGTTTGGCCTTGAAAGCTGATCTGGTTCATTTAGATCTAAAAAGCTGGGTCCACTTTGACACAGGATGGTCCCCCAGTGAATTACCTAAACACACAGTCCAATGGTTGACAAATTCCTTTGCAAAAGCTCCCAGATGGAGATAGTAGTAACACTTGGTCCTAGGAAGGCTTTGCTTCCCTGACATTGCATCTAGGGCGCAGGATACTACTGCAACAAGTGACTTAGAAAGGCCTAGCCATAAATAAAAATAGCTTTACATCAGCTTGATACATTTCCTGTTTCTGATTATTTCAGCCCTTGAGGACAAACCAGGACAAAAGGATAAGAACTTCTATCTCTATAACAAGGTAAGATAGGCTCTCGGGTAGGTGCTCAGATACAGTGGTGATTAGCTCAGTACAATAACATATACAGGATAGAATAGAAGATTGTCAGTGGCTCTCTGAGTTTAGAGTATTTCACACATTACTGAACCCCTGAAAAGGTGACACACCTTCACCATTCACTCAGTGCTACTAAGTCCTAGGAAAGTTATAACGTCATAGCCGAGTCAATCTACACTAGCGCAGAAGGTGTCTGTCTCCCTCTAGTGGCTGGTTCGCATTAGAAATTAAGCACATGCTACCCCTACCAGCTAAGGCAGTTACTATTGTAGCTTAGTGTGACGCTTTCCGGCGGCACCCACGATTGTGGGGGCACCTCGCTACCCCTTGCCCTTAGCATGAGGAAGCCCTGTCTGTGCCTGTCGTGGGTCAGCTCCCCAGCTCCACCAGCCACAGGCAACATAAGCCCTCCCCTCTAGGCCCCACAGGCCTCACTGTTCTGCTACAGGTTAGCGGTAGGTACATCCCAAACCTTGAACCCTCCAAGCATCTCCCTGGAGTGTCCAGCCCCTAATTTGCTGGAGACTTGTGCTCACAGATTCAACACTTCCAAACAGCAACACACCCCAGCTGGCCAGTTCCACCTCAGGTCACTGCTCCACTGAACAAACAGTGTTTAGAGAAGTTTATTTAACAAAGCAGAGAAATTCAAGGAACAGCAAGCTGAGGTATTGGAAACAAATGGTTTCCCATAAAACAAAATCCTAACGCATTCTAGAGCCTAGACTTAATGAACAAGCTCCTCTCATGTCCTGTAGAGTGTTGCTCACCCTAAATCTGTACAGTGCCTTACAACCAGGTTGGCTGTGTTCCCCTTTCATGAGCCAAGCACACTGTCAGTTTGCCTCCCAGGTGAAGGATCCACCATGTCACTTTGTACTCTAAGAGACAACCCTTTATCTTTATTCATAAACAGGACACTCCCCTCCCCCGGCTGTTTGTTTATTCAGGTAGATTTCCTCGCTGGTAGACTTCACAGTCCCTCAGTCCTCCCCAGCTCTGGGTGTAAATAGGCAGACAGTGTGCAGCATACGATACACAGTATCCAAATGGGCAGACAGGGAGAGAGGTGTGTGTTACTTCCTGCCTGCAAGGAACATCTCCGAGGTATCTCACCTGCTGGTGACCTGTCTTAATTCCAAGCCCTTATGAACGTAATTTCTGTGTAGATACATAACTCCTTCAATACTATCCACACGCACATTGTGCAATGATTGAGGACCAATGGGCAACTGGGGCTCGGCAGAGACGGCACATGCCACCCGTCGGTGAACTATGTATATATCTGACCCAGGGGATCTTTGTAAACCCTCTGCACCCCTGGTGCCCTCTGGAAGTTGGCACCAGAGTTCCTTGGGTCACACTCACCTCATAGAGACTTGTGCTTTTAACAGGAAATTCCCAGCCCTGCTGATTAACCAGTGTGGAGGGGGAGGGGTCATTATTTAGACTCAGACAGCAAGGGTGCCATTTTTAACATGGCTGCAGCTTAGGGCAGTACAGGGAAGGAGTCACTTCCTGCCAACCCCACCCCTTTAGCTCCTCAGTGTGGCATTTTGGTAAGAGGGGTCCCTTAGAGTTTCCTGTTAGCTCTGAGCACCTCCCATGCCTGTTTTAGAATCTTGGGCACACCCTTCCCTTCAGTGCATCAGATCCTGCTGCCACAGGCCAGATGGCAATCTATATGAACAAGCAGCACCTGCCCTGCTCAGCCGATCCGGCGTCCAACTATGAAAACATCCCTCTGAGGAATCAGGTAGGAAGAAAACCCAGTGACAGCATACTGCTGCTGGAGGGTGTACTCCCCGATTCTGAAACTCCCTGCTTCCAGGCCTGGAGGACACTGTTCCAAAAGGGCATCTGCACCAATTCAGGGCAAAACTTTCCCTCTTCCTCTTTCTTACCACTAACCAGCCCCTTTCACCAGCAGCAACTCGTGAACCCTTCAGCAAGGCACAACCTAATTAAAGCCAGGGGTCACTTGGAAGAATCAGCTGTGGTTTGCAAATGTTCTCGTCTTCTGCCTGGACCTGCTCCAAGTTACTCCATCTCCTCTTCTTGTAGTTTCTTCTCTCTGATTCATGGTGTCTTTATTTCAGGTTTCAGGAGGGAGAGAAGCAGTTTCTTCTGGCCCAGAGCACTGCTCAGCCACAGATCAGGAAGACACCTACGTCAATATGTGCCCAATCACACCCCGTCCCCCCATGATTTGTCGTCAAGCAAAGTGTGGGAGAAAAGCTGCAGGCTGAAGCCCTTCCTACTTACAGGATATTTAACAGTTCGTCCTTATTTTCCTACTGTCCCATGAAAGCTTCCAGACGGGCATTCTCTCTGCCCTGCTTCTGCTGAGCAATCTGCCAACAGCAAGATGTGGTGGGGAGGTCCCACTTCCAGCATGACTGTCTTCAGAAATGTACTGGGGGGCAACAGCTACTACAAAATGCTTCTCTTTTCCAGGACATCAGCTTGAAATAGCACAAAGGCTTGGTGGCTCAGGTTCCTGGAGGGCTGGAGGTATTCCTCTGGTGCTTGTTGTGGCATCTCTCTGCTCCAATGCCAAATAATTGCTGTCAAGGTTCCTTCCCCACTCTGAACTCCAGGGTACAGATGTGGGGACCTGCATGAAAACCCGCTAAGCTTATTTTTACCAGTTTAGGTTAAAACTTCCCCAAGGTACAAACTATTTTACCTTTTGCCCTTGGACTTTATTGCTGCCACCACCAAGTGTCTAACAGATATTTAACCGGGAAAGAGCCCGCTTGGAAACGTCTTTCCCCCCAAAATCCTCCCCAAACCCTACACCCCCTTTCCTGGGGAAGGCTTGATAAAAATCCTCATCAATTTGCATAGGTGAACACAGACCCAAACCCTTGGATCTTAAGAACAATGAAAAAGCAATCAGGTTCTTAAAAGAAGAATTTTAATTGAAGAAAAAAAGTAAAAGAATCACCTCTGTAAAATCAGGATGGTAAATACCTTACAGGGTAGTCAGATTCAAAACATAGAGAATCCCTCTAAGCAAAACCTTAAGTTACAAAAAAACACAAAAACAGGAATCTACATTCCATTCAGTACAACTTATTTTCTCAGCCATTTAAACAAAACAGAATCTAACACATCTCTAGCTAGATTACTTACTAAGTTCTAAGACTCTATTCCTGTTCTGTTCCCGGCAAAAGCATCACACAGACAGAGAGAACCCTTTGTTTCTCCCCCCCCCTCCAGCTTTGAAAGTATCTTGTCTCCTCATTGGTCATTTTGGTCAGGTGCCAGCGAGGTTATCCTAGCTTCTTAATCCTTTACAGGTGAAAGGGTTTTTCCTCTGGCCAGGAGGGATTTAAAGGTGTTTACCCTTCCCTTTATATTTATGACACGCCCCCCAAATCACAGATAGGGTGAAACTCTGGCTGTGATTTCTTCCTGGAGCACTAGGGGAAAACAGAGTTAATAAGACACATGCACCTCTAAATATACTACCAAGTATATAAAGACTAACAATATTTGTCACATCTCAAGGATGATTTTAACCAGTTGATTCTGGGAAACTTTCAAGGGAGAGGGCATCAGCCACTTTGTTAGAAGCTGAGATGTGTTGGATGTTGAAATCAAAATCTTGGAGAGCTAAACTCCACTGAATACGTTTTTTGTTATTTCCCGTGGCAGTATGAAGCCACTGTAGCGCAGCATGGTCGGTTTGCAGGTGGAAACGCCGTCCCCAAACATATGGGCGTAGCTTTTCCAGAGCGTAGACAATGGCGTAACATTCTTTTTCACTGACTGACCAGTTGCTCTCCCTCTCAGACAGCTTCTTGCTGAGAAACACTACAGGGTGGAATTCTTGATCCGGTCCTTCCTGCATTAAAACTGATCCCACACCACGCTCGGATGCATCTGTGGTTACTAGGAACGGTTTGTCAAAGTCTGGGGCCCTTAGCACAGGGTCAGACATGAGTGTCGCTTTAAGCTGGTTAAAGGCCTTCTGACAGTCTTCAGTCCACTGAACAGCATTTGGCTGTTTCTTTTTGGTTAGGTCTGTCAGTGGGGTGGCATTTTGGCTGTATTGAGGTACAAATCGCCTGTAATATCCGGCCAAGCCAAAGAAGGATTGGACCTGTTTCTTTGACTTTGGGACAGGCCACTTTTGGATAGCATCCTCTTTGGCCTGTAGGGGGTTGATAGTTCCTTGACCCACCTGGTGTCCAAGGTAAGTCACTCTGTTTAGGCCTATTTGACACTTCTTAGCCTTAACAGTTAGTCCTGCCTCCCTTATGCGCTCAAAGACTTTTTGTAGATGTTCCAGGTGTTCTGCCCAGGAATCTGAAAATATGGCCACATCATCAAGGTAGATGACTGCATATTCTCCTAATCCCGCTAGGAGACCATCTACAAGTCTTTGGAAGGTGGTGCGTGCATCCCTCAGCCCGAAAGGGAGTACATTAAATTCATACAGCCCGACATGTGTGGTGAAGGCTGACTTTTCCTTGGCGGATTCATCTAGCGGTACCTGCCAGTACCCCTTGGTTAAATCCAAGGTAGAGATGAACTGGGCCCGTCCCAGTTTCTCTAATAGTTCATCTGTGCATGGCATTGGATAGTTGTCTGGGCGAGTTACAGCATTTAGCTTATGGTAGTCCACGCAAAAATGTATCTTCCCATCTGGTTTGGAAACTAGAACCACTGGAGATGCCCATGCACTGCCAGAGGGGCGGATTACCCCCATCTGTAGCATATCCTGGATCTCCCATTCTATAGCAGTTTTAGCTTGAGGAGACACCTGGTAAGGTTGGACTTTAATTGGGTGAGCATTACCTGTGTCAATGGAGTGGTATGCCCATTCAGTCAGTCCTGGGGCGGCTGAGAACGTTGGCGCATAGCTAGTGCACAGCTCCTTGATCTGCTGTCACTGCATACGCCCAACGGTCATGGAGAGGTTCACCTCTTCCACACCACCAGCACATTTCCCTTCGTAGTAGACACCTTCAGGCCACTCAGCGTCATCTCCTCCCTGGGCTGTAAACTGACAAACCTTTAATTCTCTGGAATAAAAGGGCTTTAGAGAATTAATATGGTACACCTTAGGCTTTCGGTTGGAGGTGGGGAACGCTATGAGATAATTAACAGCTCCCAGGTGCTCCTGGACCATGAATGGCCCCTCCCATGACACTTCCATTTTATGGGCCTGGAGCGTCTTTAAGACCATGACCTGGTCCCCTACTTTGAAGGAAAGCTCTCTGGCATGTTTATCATACCAGGCTTTTTGCTCTTTTTGAGCATCCTTTAGGTTTTCTTTAGCAAGGGCTAAAGAGGGTTTTGTAGGTTGGTTACAAAGTCCAGAATGTTAGTTCCTGGAGAAGGTGTAAACCCCTCCCATTGCTGCTTCACCAACTGTAATGGCCCCTTAACCTCGCGGCCATATACCAGTTCAAATGGTGAAAACCCTAAACTGGGATGTGGTACAGCTCTGTAGGCAAAGTGCAACTGCTGCAACACTAGGTCCCAATCATTGGAGTGCTCATTTACGAATTTACGTATCATGGCCCCCAAAGTCCCATTACATTTTTCCACCAGGCCATTTGTTTGATGATGGTAAGGGGTGGCAACCAAGTGATTCACCCCTTGAGCTTCCCAAAGGCTTTCCATAGTTCCTGCCAGGAAATTAGTTCCTGCATCTGTGAGGATGTCGGAGGGCCAACCTACCCTGGCAAAAATGTCTGCCTGGCACACACTTTTAGCCCTGGTGTTGCTTGGAGCTACTGCTTCCGGCCATCGGGTGGCAAAATCCATGAAAGTCAGTATGTACTGCTTTCCTCTGGGTGTCTTTTTCGGAAAAGGACCCAGAATATCCACAGCTACTCGCTGAAATGGAACTTCAATGATGGGGAGTGGCTGGAGAGGGGCTTTGACCTGGTCTTGGCGTTTTCCCACTCTTTGGCATACCTCACAAGACCGGACATAGGTAGAAACATCCTTGCTCATTCCCTCCCAGTGGAATGACCTCCCCAAACGGTCTTTGGTCCTGTTCACCCCAGCATGGCCACTAGGATGATCGTGGGCTAAGCTCAAGAGCTTGGCCCGGTACTTAGTTGGAACTACCAACTGTCTCTGAGGATGCCAGTCTTCCTGGTGTCCACCAGAAAGAGTTTCCTTGTATAAAAGTCCTCTTTCTACAACAAACCTGGATCGATTAGAAGAGCTGAGAGGTGGTGGGTTGCTCCGTGTCACCATCCAAGCTCTCTGGAGGCTTTCATCTGCTTCCTATTTGGTCTGGAACTGTTCCCTTGATGCTGGACACATCAGTTCCTCATTGGATTGTGGACCTAGGCTTGGTCCCTCTGGAAGCGATGTAGGGGATGGGGCTGTTTCCACTGACTGTGAACTGCTCTCCGCTGGTGCACTATGTTGGGGTTCAGGCTCCAGCTGAGCCTCTGGTGTAGGGTTATCGGCTGCTGCTCGTGCAGGTTCGGTGGGGCCTTCTGGTGTTGGGGTTGCAGGTACTGGTTTCAGTGCTGGCAATGGGTCTGGTGCTGGTTGTTCCGCCGGTTCTGGTTCTGGGACTGGCTCTGTCTGGGTCTCTGGGACTGGATCCACTACTGCTATTGCAGATGTTGGCCTGGGGTCCGGGTCCATCACCTCTGACCGGGTCCTGGTAGAAGTTTCCGGAACAGAGCTAGGTGTGACGGCTTGCTTAGCCTGGCTGCGGTTGACCATTCCCACCCTCTTGGCTAGCTTCACATGATTGGCCAAGTCTTCTCCCAACAGCATGGGGATGGGATAATCATCATAGACTGCAAAAGTCCACGTTTCTGACCAGCCCTTGTACTGGACAGGCAACATGGCTGTAGGCAATTTGCAAGAGTTGGACTTGAAGGGTTGAATTGTCACTTGGATCTCTGGGTTGATTAAATTGGGGTCCTGGAGATCTAGACATTGTTTCAGGACAAGGGAGTGCAGTGAAGGATGCTCATGGGTTAAAGCCCAGCACTGGGACTCAAGAGATCTGGGTGCTATGCCCAAGGTGACCAAGACAGCCAAAGGTGACCTTTCTGGGCTTCAGTTTCCATCATGAAAAATAGATAGAACACTTCCCTACCTCACAGGTGTGGAGGTAGGCTAAATTCCCTCCGGTTTGTGAAGAGCAGTGAGATCCTCAGAAGCTGCTTAGAGGAGAAGATAGCACAGTACTGCTCTTGCTAAGCTGCAGGGTCAAGGTTTTGAAAGATGAAATGGTGACAACTCCAGGCTCCCACGCTTGGGCAGAAGCTCCCACCTGCTCCTATTTGCTCAAAGGAATGAACCTCACACTTCTTCTGGGTTGGGTGTGGAGGTCCATAGCCTCCTCTCACCTTTAGGCTCCATTCAGTGAGAAGTCAGGCCCCCATCCTGCACCCACTGCTGTCAAACAGGAGTTTTGTCGATGCTTATGACGGGAGCAGGCCCCAGGCAGATGCAGAGCTTGCACTGCTGCTGGGTCCCTAGAGCAACACAACTTGTAGACAAAAGCTAAGTAAATTCAGCCCCCTGCTTAGTGCAAAAGCAGGTGCAATGAACCAAAACCACCCATCTGACCACAAAAAGAACAGATTAAAAGCAGGAAAGGGCAGCAGCTGAGAGATAAGGAACGAGGCACCGAGTTCTCCGGATTTCACTTTGGACCCTTAGAGCAGAATGAGGGACCCACACCATAACACAGAACTAGTGAGATTCTCCTGCTGGAAGCATTTTGCAGCCTGAAGAGGTGATATGCTGCTGCTTTAACACATTTCCCCCTTTAGCCCGCAAAACCCTGTATATCCCTGGGATGTGGGTGCTAGAGACAGGAGGGGGTGAGGAACTGGGGAATTTATTCCTTTGCTTTCCCAGGAGAAAAGGCACTGAGTTTATTAAAAGGAAGCAGATTCAAAGCACGTTGCAAACCAGAAAACTTGGGCGGCAGTTCATGACAAAACATGACATTAACATGTAACATGAGTAAAGTTAAGCATGTGTATAAGTCTCTGCAGGATCAGGGCCTCCATTTCTTAAATGTTACTACCAGCCATCCCCCAATTCTGGCATCATACAGCAAACACCCCGTGAGAACAGGCCAGGCTGGGCGAGGGCAGTATGGAGAAGCACATGTCAGGAAATAGCCAAGACTGCTACTCTACCCCACAGCCTGTCCCCAGCACACGCAACCCTGGGATACAGTGTTCAAATAGCAGCCACCCACCACCATTTCCTGATGTGCAAGATTGAGTTGAAGAGAAACCAGCAAAAATAGCAACATTCAAAAGTTCACTAAGTGCATCATGGGGTTATTTTGTTTCCAGTCCTATGACTTCCCATAGCCCTGGTGCTGTCATACCAGTTATTACTTCATAAAAAAGCAGCTGAATTTCGCTCAAACTGACAACACAACCACAAGGACTAAAATAGCAGCCACCTCACACCCTTCTGCACATACTGTACACACCTTCCTGGAAGGAAACAGAGTCCTGATCTCCCAGCTATTTCTTCATTTCAGTACTGGACAACATGACTTGGGCTATCAGTGTAGAATGCAAGTGTGACTGCAAGGATGTGCCTGCACCTTCTAATGCCCAGAAGCAGGATTGTTTGGGGAGAGAGAGTCACTTGCAGTGAGTGTCCTACTGAGAACCAGAGCAATAAGGAGGATCCTGATAAGGAGTTAGCTGCTGTTTCCAGGTGAGCCTGAAATGGACACTGTGTGTGAGTGGAAATGCAAGGAATTAAGTTCCCCCTTCAGGTTCTTCTTGCTTCTGGGATTGGTGGGTATTATTAGGAAGGAGATTTCGAGGACTTCAGGAAATAGGGCATGTAAGTCCCATTAAAAGATTTAAAAACTGGCTAAATGATAGATATTGAAGCATAATTATTG